GCTACAGAGCTGGACACCACCACATTCCTCCCGCCCATCAGTGCTGAAAGCCTCCAGGGAGCAAAACAGCACGACCTAGTTGCCTCCCTGGGCCCTGCCTCCCTAGCACTGGAGGCACATTTGAACAAGGGCAAGTCCACTGAGAATCAGCGCAACAGCCCTTCCTCCAGAAGACCAGCATAAGCAATTAGCTCGCACGAAGTTTACTGATCATAGAGGGCTGCAAAGCTTCAGCTCTTGGGGAAAACAGATACTATTCTTTGTACTTTTATTCTTTCAGTATTATTTTTCCAATTCTTTTTCTATTCTTTATTTTTTATTATTTTTTAAAAGATTCTATTTATTCATGAAAGACACAGAGAGAGCGGCAGAGACATAGACAGAGGGAGAAGCAGGCTCTTGGTGGGGAGCCTGATGCAGGACTCGATCCCAGGACCCTGGGATCATGACCTGAGCCAAAGGCAGATGCTCAACCACTCAACCACCCAGGCACCCCTTTTTTTCCTTTTTAAATTTTTATATATGTTATATTTTTTATTGTTTTATTTTTATTTTCTTTTTGTAACCCTTTTTATTGTATTATATTTGTTTATATTTATGATTTTATTATATGGAAGTTTTTCTTTCTTTCTTACTGGGATCTAGTTTCTTCTAACAAGCAGACCAAAACACATCCAGGATGTAGTTTTTGTTTTGTTTTTGTTTTTAATGGTTTGTTTTGTACTTTTTTTTCTATTACTGTTTTTATTTTTGTCTTTTCTCTCTCTTTCTTCTATTTTTTTCTGGACATAAAGAAATTCACCCCAAAAGAAAAAATAGGAAGTAGTACTCACTGCCAGGGATTTAATTAATAAGGATATAAATAAGATGTTGGAGCTAGAATTTAAAACAACGATTATAGAGATACTAGCTGGGCTTGCAAAAAAGCACAAAAGACACTAGACAACCCCTTACTATAGAAATAAAAGAACTAAAATCTAGTCAGGCTGAAATTAAAAATGCAATTACTGATATGCAGCCCCAAGTAGATGGCTATAATAACATGAGAATGAATGAAGCAGAAGAGTGAATCAGTGACATAGAAGATAAAATAATAGAAAATAAGGGAGCTGAAGACAGAAAGAAAACTATTAGATCACTAAAGGAGACTGAGAGAACACAGAAATTCCATAAAGTGAAATAATATCCATATAATAGGGGTCCCAGAAGATGAGGAGCAGGAGAAAGGGGTTGAAGGTTTATTTGAACAAATTGTAGCTCAGAACTTCCTTAATTTGGGGAAGGAAACAGGCATTCAAGTCCAGGGGGCACAGAGAACCCCCTTCAAAATCAATAAATTCATAAATAGTGAAGCTTGCAAGTTTCAAAAACAAAGAGAAAATCCTGAAAGCAATCGGGACAAGAGGTCATTAACCTATAAGGGTTGACCCATAAGGTTGGTAGCAGACCTGTCCACAGAGACCTGGCAGGCTGGGAAAGACTGGTATCACATATTCAACATGCTAAATGAGAAAAACATGCAGCCAAGAATACTTTATCAAGCAAGGCTGTCATTCACAATCTAAAATGAGAGGTAAAAGTGTTTTAGGACAAAAAAAAACTAGAGGGATTTGTGAACACCAACCAACCTGGAAGAAATATTAAAGGAGTTCCTGTGAGCGGAGAGGGAGCCCAAAAGTAACAAAGACCAGAAAGGAACAAAGACAATATACAGAAACAGTGACTTTACAGGTAATACAATGGCACTAAATTCATATCTATCATAATTACTCTGAATGTAAATGGACTAAACGCTGCAATCAAAAGACACTGGGTCATTGGAATGGATAAAAAAAAATAAGACATATCGATATGATGCTTACAAGAGACTCGTTTTAGACTTAAAGACACAACCAGATTGAAAGTGAAGGGTGGAGAACCATTGATCATGCTAATGGACATCAAAAGAAAGCTGGAGTAGTCATCCTTATATCAGACAAACTAGATTTTAAACCAAAGACTTTAATAAGAGATGAAGAAGGGCACTATATCATAACAAAGCGGTCTATCCAACAAGATCTAACGATTGCAAATATTTATGCCCCCAACTGGGAGCAGCCAAATATATAAACCAATTAACAGAGAAATTCATTGATAATAATACAATAATAGTAAAGGACTTTAACACCACATTCACAGCAACGGAAAGATAACCTAAGCAGAAGATCAACAAGGAAACATGGCTTTGAATGACACACTGGACCAGATGGACTTCACAGATATATTCAGAACATTTCATCCTAAAGCAGCAGAATATACATTCTTTTCAAGTGAACATAGAACTTCATCAGGATAAAAAGCTTTTTGCACAGGAAAGGAAAATAGTCAACAAAACTAAAAGGCAGCATACAGAATAGGAGAAAATATTTGCAAATGACAGATCAGATAAAGGGCTAGTGTCCAAAATCTATAAAGAATTTATCAAACTCAACACTCAAAAAACAAAAAAATCCAATCAACAAATGAGCAGAAAACATTAACAGACATTTCTCCAAAGAAGACATGTAAATGGTCAACAGACACATGAAAAAATGCTCAACGTCACTTGGCACCAGGGAAATACAAATCAAAGCCACAGTGAGATACCACCTCACACTGGTCAAATGGCTAACATCAGCAAGTCAGGAAACAACATTTCTCCAACAATATGGAGAAAGGGGAACCCTCTTATACTGTTGGTGGGAATACAACCGGGTGCAGCCACTCTGCACTCTTGAGGTTCCTCAAAAAGTTAAAACTGAGCTACCCCATGATCCAGGAGTTACACTAGGTATTTGTCCAAAGAATATAGACATAGCGATTCAAAGGGGCACATGCACCTCCAATGTTTATAGCAGCAATGTCCACAAAAGCCAAAATATGGGAAGAGCCCAGATGTCCATCAACAAATGAATAAAGAAGATGTGGCATATATATAGTAGAATACTACTCAGCCATCAAAAAGGATGATATCTTGCCATTTGCAGTGATGTGGATGGAACTAGATAGAGGGTATTATACTAAGTGAAATAAGTCAGTCGGGGAAAGATAAATACCATATGATTTCACTCATTTGTGGAATGTAAGAAACAAAAGAGATGAAAATAGGGGAAGGGAAGGAAAAATAAAATAAGATAGAGAGGGAGGAACTGTAGGAAACAAACTGAGGGTTGCTGGAGGGGAAGTGGCTGGGGGATGGGGTAACTGGGTGATGGGCATTAAGGAGGGCATGTGATGTAATGAGCAGTGGGTATTATATGCAACTGATGAACCACTAAATTCTACTCCTGAAACTAATAATACAGAGTATGTTAACTAAACTGAATTTAAATAACAAAAAAAATTAAGCTGGTATGAGTATTTAGGTTCAATTTTTTTTGTACAACATAGGTTTTAATTTACCTTGAGTAAACAAGGGAATGGCTGAGCCATATGCTAAGTGTAAGCTAAATTTTATAAGAAAGTCAAGTATTTTCCAAAATGATTATAGTATTTTCAATTCCCACCAGCAATGCATGAGATTTCCAAATGCTCCACATAGTCACCAAGACATGGTATCATCAGTTTTAAAACTGTATCCATTCTAGTAGGTGTTTAGAGGCACCTCATCAGTTTAAATTTGCCTTCCCTTGAGGACTGATGATATTGAACATCTTTTTCATGTGTTTATTACCATTCATATATCTTCTTTTGTGAAATGTTTTTTCAAGTCCTTACCTATTAAAAAAAAAAACCTTAAGTAATGTCTTATTATTAAACTGAAAGGGTCATTATAGTCTAAATAAAATGCTCATCTCACTATTTTTAGTCATCAAAAAAGGAAACAGGGACACTGCTGGTTGGTGTACCAACTAATTTCTCAGCAAGGCAATTTGGAGATATTACCATTAATTTTAAAACCCACAAATTACACTCCTGAAAAGTTATACTAAGGAAATGACCAGTGATGTATTTGGAAGATTCATTACAGTTTTATTTATAATAGAGAAAAATGGAGCCTATATATCCAACAATGGGGATTGGTTAAACAAATTGTGGTTCCTTGGTATTATGCAGTAATTAAAATGATACATGATATAAAATTCATGATACAATGTTAAGTGAAAAGTAGGCTATAAATTAATACACATACCCAGATGAGTACACACATGTGCACCCCTACTTTAAAAATATTTTAAAAAATAATTATATATACCTATATATATTTTTAAAGATTTTATTTATTTATGTGAAAGAGAGAGAGAAAGCACAAGCATGAGCAGAAGGAGGCACAGAGGGAGACTCAGATTCCCTGCTGAGCAGGGAGCCCCATGTAGAGCTCAATCCTGTGTCTCCAGGATCATGACCTGAGCTGAAGGCAATGTTTAACTGATTGAGTCACCCAGGCATCCCACATATATATTTTAAAAATATTAATGTGGTGGAGTGCCTGGGTGGCTCAGTTGGTTACGTGTCTGCTTTTGGCTCAGGTCATGATCCCAGGTCCTGGGATCAAGACCTACTTTGGGCTGCTTCTCCCTCTCTCTCTGCCTACCATTCCCCCTGCTTGTGTTCCCTCTCTGCCAATAAATAAATAAAATCTTTAAAAAATATATCAACTGTGGTTACATATATTGAGGCAATGTTGGAATTTGTTTATACTCTGTTTTTTATTTTCTGCATTTTCCATATTTTTCTGGCAGTCTCTACTTAGTAATTTTTACTGTATCTTATTTTCACAATTTCTAACCTTTCTTCATTTTTAATCCCAAATAAACACTGATAGCTCCAACAGCAGTGGCTCTGGGACAGGGGTGAGGGAAGAAGGCTACCTGTGTGAATTTTTTTACTAATATTTTTAAAACCAGGTACTGTCTAATTAAGTATGCTGAGAGGTCACATGAGAAAAGCCACTGGCAATCTTACCTGAGATTCAGTAATTTAAATAGGCCTAACAACAAAGACATTTACCAAGAAGAAAATAAATAATATTTTCCATTTATTGGAAATTTTTAAATAACCAAGAGTCAAAATTTAAAAACATATATAAAAATATTAACCTTAAAAATGAAAATATAGTGAAATTATAAAATAAGTATACAATTAAAAAACACATTAACTGAACACCCTCAAAACTATATAAATATTGGATATTTATGAAATTCTTTAGAAATATCTATTCTTTGAATAAAGTTTGAAATTTGCTTATAATTGTCAACCAAGGAAGGAGGTAGCAAATGATAGCTCTGGCCAATTTATAACTGTCCAAAGAGAAAGATTCTGTGTTATTTCTTGCTTGTCTTTTCTAATACCCATTCAATCACCTAGAAGGAAAAAAAAAATACGGTAATGGTTTATTTCTATTGAAAACAGAAGGGAGAGAAAAAGATACAGTTAAAACTTTAAAGAGCATGGTAGAAAACTTAAAATATGAAGTAACAAGTCAAAATCTTAAATCACATTTTATCTTAAAAACACATTTTATTTTCTAACTGAAGAAAATAAAACTGAAGCTAGACTTCTGCTGCAGAGTACAACAACTGTCCTCACTGGATACAATAAAGATTCTGCTGTTTTCTCACCTTAGTTTCTTTTAAAGATTTTTAAATTTATTCCTTTGAGAGAGAGAGAGAGAGAGAGAGACAGAGACATACAGAGCATAGGCAGGGGGAGAGGCAGACTCCCCCTTGAGCTGGGAGCCTGATGTGGGGCTAGATGCCAGGACCCTGAGATCATGACCTGAGCCACAGGCAGCTGCTTAACCTTCTGAGCCACCCAGGTGCCCCATGTTGTCTCACCTTTTTTTGCAATTGTTTTCAAAGGGTCACTAGAAAGAAATTAAACCAAACTTTGAGAACAACTAATCAAAATGGATTAATTTTTCCAGGTCATTGGTTTATTAAAAAAGTTTTTTCTTTCTTAACATAATCTTTAGAAACTCTTTTGTTAACAGAGCAGCCTATTATGTACTCCTAAACGCTCTGTTTGCATTAGTCTATTATTATTTTATAGAGAGTTCTTACACAGCATACATAATGGCATCACAGCTACCCTAAAATAAAATAGCACTTTAATTCAATGTAGTTTCTTGGGAATAAGTTATTTACCTGTACAGCATTGTTGTTTGCTGCTTTCTTCATTTCTTCGAATAGACCCCTTGATGTTTTAAGATCCTAAAAATAACAACATAAAGCATTTCACGAGTTGCACATTAAATTACAGAGAACAAGTCATCATTAAATAAACTTGATATTACCCTAAATCATTCTATAAGTATCAATGTGACTCAGAAAACATTACAAAAAAAAACAAAAAAAAACAAAAAAACAAAAAAAAAACAAACATTACAAAAAAATCAAGTACAATTTAACTCTATCCCTAAATATCAAGATACTCTAACAACAATTATGTATATATATGTATATACATATATACGTATATTTAAATGCTTAAAAATATATGTATATATAACATACAAATGTATGTATAATATGTATGTACATATAAAATATATATATAATCTAATATATATATGTATATATAAATTTCTGTCACTCTTGCCTCATAATCCCAGCAGCACTGACCAAATCTAAGTCTCATCTTTGATTATATGAGTACCCACTAATGCTTTGGTACTCAGGAAATGAATATACTGCATTTGTATTTATTTTTCAGATAAAATACTTTTTTTTCTCTCTCTCCTTTTGGGTTATTTTACTCCACAACCAAGACATAGGAAACTGAAATCTCTAACTTTTAAAAAATATGATTATATCAAATTAGATTACAAGGTAAATTTAAAAAATCTAATTGTATTTTAAAAAGCAGTCCTCTGCTGTCCCTAGAAGTTATGCTTCCCACAGGAGAGACTGCCACTTTTGGTTCTTTCAGCTGTTTCTCTTATTTATATCTTCATGTTTCTAAATATGCTTATGTTGCTACTTTTTGATTTAGCAATTTTAGACAATGATCATTGTTAACAGCTACATAGGTAGTGGATTCAGATCTCTGAACCAGGCCACCTCTTTCTTCCTCTTAGTAACTACTACAGCAGTTTTGATTAGTAAATAGTTCATGTTTGCATTTTATACCTATGTAAATACAGTTGTGTCTTGAGTTAAGTAATGTTATTATAATTATCTTCTCATGTAACATTTTGTTTAACCTCTAGTTATATTTGCTTAGTTTGCCCTGTATGTAATTCTGGGTCTCCCCCGCCAAATGCTTAGTTTGCCCTGTATGTAATTCTGGGTCTCCCCCGCCAAATGTTACAATCAATTAAATGTACAAATAGCAAAGTTGTTTCAAATATACTGGATAACCTCTCAGTTCAATTTTTCAAGAAATCTGATCATTGTTATTTGTATTTTTTCACCTGGTGCTCTTTCTCCCACAACTTGCTCCAATTTGGTCTAACTGCTCCCTGGGTTAGTTCTTATTTCTTGACTCAGTCGCTATTCTGATGGACTTCATCCTCTTGCAGATGCTTTAAAAGGGTATATGAATGACAAACTTTTTTAGACTTTCCACATCTGAATTATCTCTAATGGAATCCTCAGACTTGATTGAATTTGTGACTGGTTATAAAATACTAGGTAAATCAGTTTCCCTCAGATTGGAAGATACTTTTCTGGCTTCTGGCATACATTACTTACTATGGAGAAGTACAATGCCATTCTGATTCTCAGTTCTCTACATGTAAACTTTCTTTCCTGGGAAGATTTTAGGAGGCTATTTGAGGAAGTATGAAATTCCACAATAATGTAGCTTGCTGCAGAACTCTGTCATTCACTGGGATGGATAAGCTGTGTGCCTTTTCAATCATGGCACTTGAGTTCTTCAGTTCTGGGAAAAACTTTGTTATATTTTTGATAGTTTGCTCTCCTTTATTCTCTATTTTTAAAACTTCTGTTACCATATTAGTCTAATTAGTCTATTAGTCTCTGGATTAGTCTTCCCATTTTCTGATCCTTGTATTTCACGTTTTTGTTATTGATTCTAATTTTTTTAAGAGTTTATTTATTTATTTGAGAGAGAGAGAGAGAGAGAGAGAACACAAGCAGGGGACAGCAGAGGGAGAAGCAGGTTCCCTGCTGAGCTGGAAGCCCACCACGGAGCTTGATCCCAAGACCCTAGGGATCATGACCTGAGTCCAAAGACAGACACTTAACCAACTGAGCCATCCAGGCATGCCCTGATTTTAATACCTGGTAACTTTTTTTTTTTTTTAAAGATTTTATTTGTTTATTCAGGAGAGACACACACAGAGAGAGAGAGAGGCAGAGACACAAGCAGAGAGAGAAGCAGGCTCCATGCAGGGAGATCAATATGGGACTCAATCCCGGGACTCCAGGATCACACCCTGAGCCGAAGGCAGAAGCTCCACTGTTGAGCCACCCAGACGTCCCTACCTGGTAGCTTTCTTAATCTCAACTGTTCAGTGTCACTATTGGATTGATTTTATCGTATTTTTCATTTCAGCTTTCATGTTCTATAGAGTTTCTGGAAATAGCATCCTGTTCCAGCTTTATGGATGCAAGTATCTTCTTTCTGAGAGAATTATAGTTTTTATGAAGTTTTCTATAGCTTTCTGCACGTTAAGAGTTCCCTTCATTCCTTTGTTTTGGCATCTTTTTTTTTGGGAAAAGTCTCAAAAGTCTGCTAATTCTTGGCAGTCCAATCATATTTAAAACTGAGATGTAAAAATCTTATTGAAAGCTCTGTCTAGTGGCTTTATATGGTCAGGTTATTAGGAGGCCAGTTGGTTTTTCCCTTGTGCCCCTCTTTTTGCTTCAGAGACTATTTCCTGCACTGTCACAGAGATGAGGGCGAGAAGTAGGAGCAGCATACTTCGTAGTTACCCCTGTGGGAAAAAGACTTGGAGAGGAAGTTGGGGGTTCCTCAGTTCACTGTAGATTTTTATACAACTCTCCTATGTTCCGCCTGACACCACACCCCCGCTTTCCATGATACCCAATGTCTTCAAATCCTAAGAACCTCAGAGACTGTGTCATTGGACATGGTTTGATTCTCACTAGCATTCCACTGGTCAGGCATTTAGGTTCCAACTTTTTAAACTCTGTGATACCAAACTTCTATGGGCTGTCTTGTTCAACAATGTACCAAACATACCTCTCCATTTTTTTCCCCCTCTCTTCTTTGTTTTTGTATTTTAATACCATTTTTCTTGAGATTTTAGAAAGAAGGCGAATTGGATACATGTGGTCATCTGTAGTTTTAATCAGGAACCCACACAAAACTCTGACTTGAGTCAAAAACTCTTAAAGCTGGTGACAATCTAACACCATTTAAAATTTTTTTTTTTAAGATTTTATTATTTATTCATAGACACAGAGAGAGAGAGAGGCAGAGACACAGGCAGAGGGAGAAGCAGGCTCCATGCAGGGAGCCCAATGTGGGACTTGATCCCGGGTCCCCATGATCACATCCCAGGCTGCAGGCGGCGTCAAACTGCTGTGCCACTGGGGCTGCCCACACCATTTAAGTTTTACAGAACCATCATCTAAGTGGCTAATCTGTCTAATGTCTCACAATTAGCTGATAATGGATCCAAAATTAGAAACGGGGTATTCTGATACCCATTCCAGTTGCCTTTTTACGATATACTAAAATTCTAATTAAACATGTTTTGACGTTTATTATCAACTTAAGTCAAAGACTTGTTAGGGAAGATACCAGTTAAAATGTAGTTTTCTAAACATGAGGACAAAAATCAAACAAGTCAGATATAAAATATTTTGGCTCCAATTTTTCTTTTGCCACCTAAAAAAATATCTGACAACAAGTTATAAGCTATCATTATAAAAATATACTCACTAAATATTACTTTATGTCAGATAAGAATATCAGAATATGACCTCAATTTTGCTCTTAATAGAGAAGACACAGTACCTTCAGATAGAACTTGGAGATCTCAAAGAGACGTTGGCTGCAGGCAGTGAAACATCCATGAGTCTCAGTAATGCTGTGTTTCTTCAGTGTTTCTGTAACTACTTCTTTCAGTATCTTGAATAGAACATAACATATGATAATATTTCTTGGAAAAGGTACAAACATATTATTTCATCATTAGAGTTCAGTTGTGTGAATTCTATAATCATGTAACTAAGTGAAAGCTAAGTTCATTAAGACAAAATAACTGAGGAAAAAAAGAGACCTGGAACATTTACATAGTCATACATGTCACGAGGTATCTATTAGGAAGAAAAACTAGAGTATTTTAGGAATTCAAATCATAAGTTCTGAATCAAAATCTGCTTGTAAAAACTACACACATTAAGGATATACACAGGGATGCATTTACTCTTTATTATGGAAACTTTCAAACACTGAGAAGTATAGAGAACATTTAATGACAAATCTCTATCTTGATATCAAACCAGTTGCAATGAGGATCAATTTGTGGCTAATTTTGTTTCATTTCTCCCTCTGCCTACTTACCCACTGTCCTTCTTATGTTGAATTATCTTAAAGTACATTATACATACCATTTCATTTCACTCATAAAATTTTCGACATACATTTTAAATGAACCAAATAAAGGAGTTTCTTCCCATGTAGAACTAAGAGACAGGAAATAAATCTTTACCCGTGTGTGTTTCTGTGATCTTGATTCCTTAATTTGCCTTGATGTTTTTGATCCATGAACACTTTTTTGACCTGAACTGGCCTTTGTAGTGACTTTTGAAGTTTCACAGCTAAGAACTGGAACTGATGGACAAGTGACAGATAATGATCGCTCTGCTCGGGGTTTTCTGGATGTCACTGCATGATGACGACGATTAGCATTGCCACTTGTTTGAGAAAGAAGAGAATCCGAACTTTCAGACTTCACAAGTCTATTGTGGAGAAATAAATCCAAAACCAGACTAAGTGACTCAATAATGAGGTTCATTTTTCTGCCCTAAATGTGACAATTTAGTGGATATAGATCCACTAAAACATAAACCCAACAAAATCAAACAGGCAGAAAGCAGTGCAAGAAGGTGGGAAGACCTAGCAGGAAAGCTGCCATCCCCAGACATCCTTTTCAACAAAGCAGCTCTGCTACTTAATTTATGGGACAAGATCTCTAGTGTTCCATGGCTTAACAATTTTATAATTCATCATGCTAATGTTCTGTATATTAGCACAGAAAGCAAGAAATTGTGTTTTTTTTTCCAAGTCATTTCTTTTTATAATTTATAAGCATAATCATAACTGCTCACAGTAAAAACAAAATTCCTGATGGGAAAGAATTCATCTAAGATCTCTGCAGAATGCTACTTAAAAATAAGAAAGACTAATTTGCAAAAAAATTTAAAAAAAATTAGGGACTAACACACTTTCTGTCAAGGGACTATTTTTATGTACTTAATATAGCACCTTTTTTGGGGATAAAGGCAATTCACATCTTTTGATCCCCTTTTCAATCGAGATACTTCAGTGCGGAGCTCGCTTTGTAAAGCTTCTCCATCAGGGACACTGCCAGGCTCTGACAAGACGGCAGGTGATGGAAGAGGGCTCAACACAGTGGGTACCGGAAAACTTTCTCTAGTGCAGGTGGTTTGGGTTTCATAACGGATGAGACGAGACTGAAGTTCAGAGAATCCCCCATCTCTTTCTAATGCTTTTCGGTCATCCAAACAGTATCTAAAGAAAAGAAAGACCATTAAAATCACAGGCTTCACAACAGCAACGTTTTTCCCTGCCAGTGAGGAAATAGCGGAACATTTCCTTGAAAACTTTACTGAACTTCCTAATAACTGTTGGGAGGGCGGAGGGAACGGCCGGCTTCCTTCACAAGTTCGTTTTTTTCTAGCCTGCTGGATGACAGGGCAAAAGATTAAAATATTTAAAGTATGATCTGATTCCTCTTTGACTCTTTCTGGGCAACAGATTAAGTTAATCCTGGCTTATTTTCAAAATAATAGAGCTGCTGTTTTAATACTCTTTAAGTCTCTACCGACATCTGATTCCTCAGCATGCCTGGTATGTAACAAGTTGAAATGCTGACTTCGGTTAGAAAGGGCAAGTTTATGTTCAACACAAAGATGAAAAGGGTATAAAGGTATTCGAACTGGCTCACCATACACAGCTCAGAACATTCTGAATTTCTCTTTGAAACTCACTCCCCACCCTTACTGCTGATTGACAGATTTTTCTTCAAACGCTTTGGCTGTCCCTGTGCATCTGCTTTCTAGCTAGATCTGATTCAAGGAATCAATGAGATGTTGGCTCAGTGAATGCCTCTGGTCTTAAAGAAATCCCATGTTGTTAAGGATAACAAATAAGCGTATCAGGAAAATCACCCATGAGATATGTGACCTTGGACAACTCCTCATTGTCTCCTCTGCTACAGCTGCATCAGGCAAACACAAGAGCTTCAGAGAAGTGCTAGGAGGACTGTCAAAATTAAAACCTTTCTCTGTTATCTGTCCTCTTGATTTGTAAAATTCTAAGGTGCTCCCTAAAACTAGAACTTTACGTCCATAAGCTTTTAGCTCAACTCCCAAAGAGTGTTATCATTCCCCTAACTTCTGATTGCCTCATGGAAGTTTTAAGGACTCTTTCTTTCCCTTTGGGAGACTTTCATATTTGATTTCTAAGAGCTGAATCCCAGGATTTAAATCTGGCTCTGTCACCGATTAGGTGGTTTGAACTTGGCCCAATCACTTCAGTTGATCTATGCTTCTGTTGGCCTCCTCTGCAAAATGAGCTTTATTTATAGGGTCATCTCCTAGAGCTAGTATAAGGATACCTTACATATTCCTTGGGTAAAGTAAGGCACTCAGAATCAGTGCCTAGACCATGCAATCAAAGCTCAACAAATGTATGCTGCTACTGCTGTCGTGGCTATTATTATTATTATTATTATTATTATTATTATTATTAGCAGGTTTAATTTCTACCACAGCAAATCTTCTAGTATGCACATTTTTTAAAAAGCTGTCCAGGTGATTGGGACTGATAAATCTCTAATCTAACCCAGGGGTTAGATTAATTTAACAGAGGAGAAAGTGGTGGCAGAATGATAACTAGAACCCAGGCTTCTCAGTTCTGTAACATTCTTTCTCTAATGTTATTTAATAAAACACATTTCATTAAAAAGGAGCAGTAACCCTAAGGATTACTGATGAGTCCTATTTCTCTCCTGGGCAACTGAGAGAATTGAAAATGAAATCAAGAACCATGAATGTTAAGAAAGGTTCTAGGCAAGAGGCTCATTAATGCCTTAATGAGCTTATAGGAAATTTTTGAGAAAAAAGATACAGTGTCACTCCAAGTGAGTATTTTTTTCTACTCTGAGATTTTGATTTTAACATGCAGATATTTTCCTTCCAGTTCTAACCTCTCTTCATCACAGCTGTTCATAATGCCATTCCTTCAACTGAACTGTGTGTACTATGCTTGTTGACTCTGCCATTTTAAATGTCCTCAAATGATTATACTATGATCTGGCACTGAAACAAAAAGTACTTTGCAAATAAGAAAGGAACAGAAACAGAATGGCAGGGTGCATATTTGGTATTAGTGGAGCAAACATTCATGGTTGGATGAATGACTACACTTCTCTATTTTCTTACAAAACAATAACCAAATGCTTTATGCAACCAAAGGAAGGAAAGTATCTTCAAGATGAAGCTATCTTTGTTTGGTAATTACATAATAGGCAAGATACTGTCTAGCATGCATCAATGTCTGTGAAGGCAGGGGAAACTGCCAAATCTCTTGGAGCAGATGAAAGAAATTTGAAAGCAACAGGAGGCTGGCATGGCCAAACATCACAGTTTGATAGTAGAGTTTAATTTGTTGTTAAAGAAAACAGTGCACCATACAATCAATGGTATCTAACACTCCAGGATAAAATAGGTGAAAAATCAAGCAAGCCAACAGTGGAGATATTTCATTTTGCCTTAAGAAAACACTGATTTGCACTTGGGCAGTTTATATATATATTTTTTTTCCCAAATATTCTTTATGTCTGGGTACAGGAAGAGTTCAGAGATTACAAAGGCTTAAAGCAACATGAGGAAGAGAGAAAAATCTCCCTTTAGCTTCATAATTATTTTAACATTCTACTAGAATTTTGTTTCAAGTAGGTTCATTATCTATGTTGAACACAAATAGTCCCTCTGCCCTCTACATGCTCAAATCTTCTTGAAGAAAAAGCATGTTCCTGGATTCACTGTCCTCACCCCTCTACCACATCCTTGGTTTGATCTGTGCCTTCAGGTTAAGGAGCACAAATTTAGAATAAAGAAAACTGAGTCACAGAGAGATTTGTTTGTTTATAGGGGCAGGTAGTTCTTATTGCTCATTTTAAAGTCCTCAAATTCTTACTTCAACTGTTGTTTCATATGCAGAGAGAAGTATAATGTTACCACATGTACTGACGTGTTGTTTCTTGTTACTGCTGAGGAGTACTGCTTTGTATACATACACCAGTTTATTTATCTATTCTGCTGAGGTACACCTAGGCTGTTTCCAGTTTGGGGCTATTATGGATAAAACTGCTCCATGTCATCTTGTTCAACTCTTCCTGTGGAGTTGTGTTTTTTCTTCTTCTTTTTTTTTTTTAAGATTTATTTTATTTATTTGCAAGACAGAGTGGAAGACAGAGAGCACAAGCCTGGGGGAGAGGCAGAAAGAGAGGGAGAAGTGATTCCTCACTGAGTAGGGAGCCTGAATGGGGGGCTGAGGGCTTCATCCCAGGACCTGGGATCATGACCCGGAGCTGAAGGCAGATGGCTCAACTGACTGAGCCACTCAGGTGACCCTGGAGTTGTGTTTTCATTTCTCTTAGGAAAATGCCTAGTATTGGAACTGATGTACCATAGGATCTGAGTATGTTTAGTTTTATAAGAACCTCCCAGATCCTTTTCTGGAGTAGAGATACCATTTTATACTCCCACAAGCAATGTATGATGGTTCTGACTGTTCCATATACTTGTCACTATTTATTAGTCTTGTCATGTGAATCAGTCATTTGTATTTCCTCTTTGGTAAACAAATGGTTCAAGATTTTGCCAGCTTTTCCATAGGGGCATTTATTTTATTTTCTTACTGATTTGTAAGTTTTTTTTTTTTTAAGATGTATTTTTGAGAAACAGAAACAGAGTGAATGAGCATGCATGAGCAGGGGGAGGAGCTGAGGGAGATCTAAAGCAGACTCTGCACCTGTTGATTGCAGAGCCTGACACTGGGCTGGATCCCATGACCCTGAGATCACAATGAGCCAAAATCAAGAGTCAGATGTTTACCCAACTGAGCCACCCAGGAGCCCAAGTATTTTTTAATTATAAAATACCTTCTCATTTATGTTAAAAAATATTTTCCTCAGCTTAATCCTTACTTTAAGGATTTCTTTGTTTCTGTTGATTACTGACATTGCTGTTTTAAGATTAGGAAAAATCTATCATTCCTTTTTTTTTGTTTGTTTCTTCCTCTGTCAGAATGAATAAAAAAATCTTCCCTACACTTAAAACAGATTTTTCCTTACATTTTATGCTTAAACATTTCAGTTTTTCACTTTAAATTCTGAATACATCTGCGATTCATTCTGGTATTTAGTGTGAACTAAGAATCACTTAAAATTATTTTTATTTGCATATTTAATCATATTCTCACTACTACCTACTGAATATTTTATCTTTTGCTCTCTAATTTGAAATTTTTCCCCTATTAGACTGAATTCCTATGTATATTTGGTTTTTCCTTGCATTTCCTACTTAGTTTCACTCTTATACTATTATTATAATACCTTTATAATAAAATTTTCTGGTTATATGATAAAATTCATCTCATTCTTTAAGTAAAAGGAAAGAGGCTTCTTACCAGATAAATTATAGAACTATTTCAACTGAAGGTTCAAAGTTGTTAAGAATTATATTAAATATTTACATTTATTCCAAAAGAACTAATGCCTTCAGAATATGGAATCTGTGCACAGGGAAACAAGGCATGCTTCCCTTAAGTAATCAATGTTGCTTTTATGTCCCCTAATATAGATTATTTGCAATTTTTTCCATTCTACATTTCTTGTAAAAATACTTGTAATATTTATGGTTTCATTGCTATTTTCAATAAGATCTCTTCTCAGGGTGTTTAAAATTGGAAATGGGGATCCCTGGGTGGTGCAGCGGTTTGGCGCCTGCCTTTGGCCAAGGCATGATCCTGGAGACCCGGGATCAAATCCCATGTCGGGCTCCCGGTGCATGGAGCCTGCTTCTCTCTCTGCCTATGTCTCTGCCTCTCTCTCTCTCTCTCTCTCTCTCTGTGTGACTATCATAAATAAATAAAAATAAAATTAAAAAAAAAGAATAAAATTGGAAATGGCCGGTTTAGAGGTAAACTAGGCTTTTTATATATATTTTATCACCGGTCACTTTTCAAATTTACCACTTCTAATAATCTTTCAGGTCTCTTCTCTATGAAACAAACAAACAAAAAAACAGCAAAAAAAATTTTTTTATGGTCTCTTTTTCAATATGTATAACTCTTTTAAACTCTCTAGTTTTCTTTATTTTAATTGATTAGCCAAAGCAATGATTAAAACAGAAATATTCAGCACAATGGGTAAAAAAGAAAAGAAGTACTGATAGTAGGTTATCCTTTTTTTTTTTTTTTTTGATAGCAGTTATCTTTTTCTTGCACCGGACTTTAATGGGAATTTAATTTTGATGCTTGAAAACAAAACAGCTGAATATTTTGCCTCTAGTGTCAAACTTACATACTCTTTCAATGAAATAAATCTTATTTAAACATAGCAAGGAAACTAAACATTCCTAGAATGATTGTTGAGTGACCTTCCATATTTTCTCAACTGTACCACCATCTTTCCAATGTGCCTAAGCTAGAAACCCTAAAGAATTCTTGTTGTATCCTCCCTTCTCATCCTCAACATCTAACTAATCTAAAGTTCTTAATTAACTTTAAGTTTATATTCTCTTTCCTATTTTCACTGCCTTGATAGCATTTTAGTCCTTCAACATCTGCTTGAAATACTTCAACTCAATTTATTAAAAGCCAATGAGATTTCTTCAATGGTACAAACCCAAGCATTTAATCTCATGCTTTAAAAATAAAGGTCTTTTACTTCTCAAAAATAAAGATCAATCTCCCTCCCATGACACCGGTGACCTTCATGACTTCATGATTTGGTCTCATTATAGTATGTTTATCACTCTTATTCAAAAATAAAAATGTACTTTTATCTTCCAAGAATCTGTAACTCTGTACTTTGTTCCTCCTGCAAACATTGCCTTTTCTGCCAGGTGCACTCCTATTCATTCTTTCAAACTTAGTTCAGATTTCTTCTTCAAAACACTCAAATAGTTCCTGGCATTTATTTCTTCTATCTACTGGGCAGACATCTGTATTTTAACATTATTTATAATCTGCTAAAATTATGTGTTTTTTCTTTTTCCCCTAGAGAGTATATGCTTCTTAAGGGCAGAAATAATCATCTTTTGTATCTTTAGCTTCTGAGTGAACAATTTTCAGTATTTTTGAAGTTTATTTGAAATAAAGATTAAGTTTACAAGCCAATCAAATAGTATGTTTCAGTTGATAAGTTGCTTCCTAAACATTATAGTAAAATCAAGTCCTTTTCTATTCATTTATAGAAAATCAATATGAAATAAGGTTTTGCTTTAAGCATGCATAATTTTTTACATTGGTCTTAAAAAGGGTCTTAAAAATTTATCACCGTCATTACATTTCTTGTTCTTGTGAAAATGGTAGATGTGCCCATAACCTCAGAAACTGCTAATAACTTTATGCAGGAGAATTCTTTGAAATTTTATTCAAACTGGTTAATTAAAAATCTAGAAAATTTACACATAATTATCTATTACAAATGGGAATACATTTCATCTAATAGTTTCTGAGTAATTATAATGTAATTAGTGACCAGGGAATATTAATGTGACCAGTAGTATAAATACAAATCCATAGGGGCAAAATAATTTTGATTAAAATATCTGGTAACTGAATGTTTAAATGCTGTAAAACTGATTAATCATCAAATAACTTTTTTTTTTAACAATAGAAGACAAATTCCTATTTGTGTACACACTGCTTTGTTTTCTGAGACTTTTTGAGATTCTTTCTCTTTGGCTTTATATCTTCATTTTATTACAGATACTCTTCACACTCACATTAGAAAAGCTTCACCAGCAACATGCAGAAGAGTAAAGTGTAAATAAAGACTTACTCAATCCCATGATAATGACACACTGAGGCTTTTTCAAAAGGTAAACCCTGAAGTTTCCGAGGACTAAGTTCCGGTGTCAGAACAAAAGTCTTTTCCCTAAAACAAAAAGTTTTTCATTTGTATTTAAAGTTTATTTAGTGACAAAGAGAAAGTCCAAGAAAGTATCTAAAAAACAAAATCTGGCTTCCTTCTTTTGAAGTGAATCTTACATGGGAAAGAAATGATGTAACATCAGAGAGTAGAAGAAGGAAATCAAACAAGGTTAAGCATGAGTGGGTTTTGTCACATATTTGCTGTGCCTCAAGTTTCTGAAGTTACAATGTTATTTATTTCACAAAACTATTCTGAGAAATGGATAATGAGTGAAAAATGATTTGTAGTGGAAATTCAAGAAGCAGCATTATTCCTGAAGGATTTTTTTTTCTTGGTGTAATGAACTAATGTTTATACATTTAGTTCTTTTTTTTTGCAGGGGAATGATTAAAGTCAATTCAAATCTTTTAGTAACAAAGGTATTTACTTCCTACTAGAACACATGAGAGATCCAGATTTTTCTTTGCCTAGGAATGTAGTCATCTTGACACCTACTTTGAGAGTTAGCAACCTGTTAAATATCAAAGGATATAGAGACTGCTGACTTCAGTGTTCTGCTTTTGAAGTAGGTTTCCAATCAGCAGGTATGATAACTAATCATATAGTGGTGAGCTTACATAAAATATTCATGCTCAATCTCTTTTACACCCAGATCCACAGGGGTATATCAAAATCTCAGGAAGAAAAAGTTCACTGCAATTAGGTTAGGCTCTCCTGGTTATTCTAAGAGATGCCCACTCCCCACAACCCCTAGTTTTCTCTCCCTGAGTTGAAAGTCATTGTTCCAATGCACTGGATCATGTTCCTGAAACTCAGGACAGGGGAGATGGGAATGGAAGAATAATGTAACAGCGGCCTTTACATAGTTAATAGAATGAAATACCAGGGGCCTGAATTCAGAAGACTTGGAAATGGTATATAGAAAGTCAAGAGATAGCATAGTTCCATGAATGTGCTTTCACAATTTTTCCCCTACGGCTTTAATAATGAAAACTGCCCACTTGCCACTGAAAATTATCAAGGGTACTATAATAAGCATTTGAAATTATTACATTTTAATATAAGGCATGTGCTAAGTATGAATCCTAAAAAAATATATATTCTAATGCATCCATTTAAGGTGTTCCACAAAAAATAATAGTAATTAACTGCAATGACTCCAGTATTTTGATGACTCACTATTAAAGTGAATAATTTCCTAATATAAAATGATTTAGGCACCTAGCATTTCACTTCTTTCTTTTAGCATACTGCTTCCATTTCTAATTTCAACCCTCTCTGCAACTTTATGTATTTTTCTTTAATTTTACTCACACCTGTTCTTTCTAAAAGAAATGTTTTAATAAATATGTCTTTTGTCACTGCTTAATATTTCTCTGATATACACATAGGAGTCATGTCTGCATTCTGTTTAATATTCCAATAGCTACTTGTATAGGTAGACATTTTAATAAGAGTCCATAGGTTCTTGATTTATTGTTAGGAAAGCTCATTCTTCAACCTCAATGCTAATAGAAGATTATTGGATAATGATGTCACTTTACTAAGGAACTATATCAAATTTTCCTAAATAAATTACCTGTAAATTACAGAAAAAATCGTACCTCCCCTACAGATATCTTCCCTAACATTGCATCTAGAAAGACATTCTGTTCAAAATGTCTATATAATTCAGTTTTGGCAAATCTACTCAACTTTGTCACTTCACACTTAATGATCTGGGAGGACAATAATCCAATAGCTAAATAGGTGAAAAATGTTTATATACTTCTTCATGCTCTAGATTACCATAAAAAAAGATTATAGATCTCTCAAAGCTATCAGGAAAGAAAAATTACACAACTTGTATGTCATTAAGATTATTAAGTCATTAAAATCCAGAATTATGAAGAGCCTCAAATTTTCAAAGGTGTTCCTTCTCTCTCTCTTTAGTGAACAGCACATGAAGGCAATACGCTTGCTCCAGGATTATCTTTGAGATATAACTGCCTTTAAATAAATCCCTCCCAAAGTTTACCTTTAAAATCAGTATTTTCCAAAACAAGTTTTGTAAAAGAGATTAAAATGAATTATAATTTTTAAGGTCCTCTGGGAGGTCTTCAAAATGATGGATTAACAATTAAGATATAGATTAACAAAATAATAGATTAACAATTATGATGATATATATAGTGAACAAATGATTCAATCTCACAAGTAACTGACATCAGAAATTTTACCTGTAATTAAAGCAACTTTAGCAATATCTCATATTTATTAACTAGTAACTTAGTGAAAGTTGTCTTGGAAGTCAAATTAGTAGTAAACTATTCATATTCATACCGAGTTCTTACTCGGTAATATTATAGTTTCAAAACCATTTCTATACTTTAATGTTCTCTTCAGTTGAAAGGCTGTGCTTTTTGCTAATATTAGGCATGACTGACAATGTCATGACAGGTAAAGGCAAAATCAAAACTAGAGAATAACACAGAAAAAAGAATTAAAAATATTTTGCAAGTCAAATTATATATATACATTTTTTTAAACAACACTGTCCTTTGTATACAAAGTAGAAGCTACTGACTTCTATAGGGAATAAACTGAGGTTGCTCTTATTGCCTTTGTTTTCTTTATACTCAATACCACAAAAAAATAGGACATTGGGTAAGGTAAAATGTGAGTAAAATTAAGTCCAAATGATAAGCATTGGGATCAAACTTGTGAATTTTGCCCAAGTAGCATAGGGCATCAATTAACTAAAGAAATGAAATGCAATGTGTTTTAAAATTATTTTTAAAAAATTAATTGGCAACTATAAGTTTATAACTTACCCCTTTTGTATCTGTAAAGGCTGAAGATCTCCAATTGGTAATCCATCTGAAGTAAAGAATTTCAATAATTCTTTAGCATCCAATAATGTGATCGAGTCCCGTGGCCCTTCTTTGTGGCCCAGCAACTGCTCAGATGAACGAGGTAATGAACCAGTTCTGAGAAAATAATGTTATCTAAATTATTAAAAGTGGATTAGAATTCATCATAATCAGGAAAAGGTGATATGAGCAGAAACCAAAACAAAGAAAACTACAGAACTATATATTTAGGAAAGAAAATAAAGTAAAATCTTTGTGAACCATTCAGTGTAAAAGTATATTTTTAAAAATGTAGGTCACAATGAAACTTATAGTTAGCCATGTCAATAATGCTACTACTTAACTAAAATAAACATAATTATATTCTTTATAAAAGATGGCATGAGGAATGAGGAGCACCTGGGTGGCTCAGTCCATTGAACATCCAACTCTTGATTTCAGCTCAGGTCATGATCTCAGGGTCATGGGATCAAAACTCCTAGTTGGGCTCTGCACTGAGTGGGGAGTCTGCTTGAGATTCTCTCTCTCTCTCTCAACTCCTCCTCTTCCTCCTCTGCCTCTCCCCCTGGTCTCTTTCTAAAATAAGCAAATCTTCAAAAAAAGATAAATGACGGCATGATTATTTAGTAGTGTGAAGTTATCAATTCTATAAAGTTTAAATCTAGAGGGTGCCTAGGTGGCCCAGTTGGTTAAGTGTTTGCCTTCAGCTCAGGTCATCATCTCAGGGTCCTGGGATCAAGTGCCACTTCAGGTTCCTGGCTCAGCGGGGAATCTGCTTCTCCATTTCCCTCTGCACCTCCCCTTCAACTCCTGCTCTTTTTTTCAAATAAATAAATAAAATCTTAAAAAATATTTTAAATCTAAATGTTTTTCTATGTTCTGAAACCCCATAATCTCAAATTTTGATGGTAGAGGCTGAATGTTCCAATTTTCTATGGGCTTGAGAGATTACTTGAAGCACAACCATGAAATGAGACAGTAATCAGAAATCTGTTCAAGGTGTCTCCTAGCCATTATTATAACATTATGAGTAAGTACTGAATCATTATTATACCTGAAATAGATACAGGAGTTTATACTTCTCAAACTACTTTACATAAAATATGTTCTTAATTCTCACAAATTTCCCTGACAGAACACATCTTATCTCAAAATGAACACCTGAAAATAAGTACTTTCTAAAGTGAAAGTTAGCATACCAAACCTAGAAAAGAATCCTTATTACTAATTTTCAGATAAAGATACTAACACACATTAGTTTGCATTACAAGCCCAGGGTGACACAGTCATTTATTTATTTATTTTTTTAATTTTTATTTATTTATGATAGTTACACACACACAGAGAGAGAGAGAGAGAGAGAGGCAGAGACACAGGCAGAGGGAGAAGCAGGCTCCATGCACGGGAGCCCGACGTGGGATTCGATCCCGGGTCTCCAGGATAGCGCCCTGGGCCAAAGGCAGGTGTCAAACCGCCGCGCCACCCAGGGATCCCGACACAGTCATTTAAAATGATAGTCAGAACTAGACTGACTCTGAATTAAGTACTATTCCTACACTCTCACTCTATAAACCTAAAAAGCTCACAGGAAGTTTAAAAACCAGAAAAAGGAAAAAAAATTAGTTTCAGAGAATGGTAGCAGTTTTATCAAGCACTGAGTCACAGACCATGCTATTGCTCTATCATCAAAGCATAAATAAAATCTTCTGAAACCTCCACAGGAAATTAACTTCATGACTTTATATTAATTCAGCTATCTCCCAATTATCACTCCAATCAAGAATATTTAATTACCAATATATTGGTTATATGATTAAAGTGTTGACATTATGGACTTAGACTTCTATTTCTATACATTAAAGATCAATAATGTACCAACAATGTGCCCCTTCCTCCTCCTATCCCCTTTATTTTTAAGCTGAAAATATAAACCTAATAAAAACAAACAAGAAAATATTCAAATATTTTCTCTGAATTCCATACTCCAAGAGAGTAGGAACTATATTATGAGTTTAACCTAAATTTCTACATAGCTATTCTCTAATTATGATTCACAAACGTTTCTTAATGAATATTAATCCCAATCATTTTATAGGCTAGATTTGGGATGTTTATAATTTGCATTTATAGAGGACCCCGAACACAAAGATATCTGAGCAATTTAAAAGCCCAGTTTGTGATAAATTATACCATCAAGATATGTCTTAGGTTAAAATCAATCAATAAAATAATAGCGCTTTATTTTGTCTAGTGTTTTCAAGGTTACAAAGTACTTTTTCATATATAATCTCATTAAACATTGATAAACTTTAAGTAGAACTGGGATTGTTATCCCCATCTTAGAGATGAGGCAACAAAGTCACACATGTGAGTTAGTCCAAAACCAAATTTTTATGACTTCTGAATTTCACTATGTAAAGAACCCTTAATTCTCCAGTTAAGCTTATTTTAACACAATACAAATTCTGTAAATACGCAAAGTAACTTTTGTTCCCAACCAAAAATTCAATAGTATCTCCCCATATTGTTACACTCTCACAAGTATTTGAGTATTGACTTTGCAAATACCATTGGGAGTTACTAAAATGAGTTCACTGATGATAATGTATAGACTCATAATCACTGTATGTAATTTAGTACAAAGGTATGAGGTTAAGGACAGTGAAAGGAGATATACCAAGGTAGAATGAGGTAAAAAAAAAAGGTGTAATAAAATAAGCTTCATGAAAAGAAGTAATGTTATAGTCCTTGGGTGCTTAATGAAGAAAGAGAACACTGAGCTGCAACATTTATAAAATACTTAAGAGAAAGATGATATTTGATCTAGACCTTGAATGACAAACAAGCCTCTGGTTAAAGACGGTGCATTAAACATACATATTAACCTCTCCACTCAAATAAATGGAAATCACAATGATGAAGTGCCAGACACTAAATTCATAAGAAGGTTGAAAAATGAAAGATGAAAAAAATGGTGGAACAAACAAAAGGGATAAACTAGAGCAAGTGCATAAATGAGAGCTAGAGAGAGAAACTTTTTTTTAATTTTTAATTTTTTATTTATTTATGATAGTCACACAGAGAGAGAGAGAGGCAGAGACACAGGCAGAGGGAGAAGCAGGCTCCATGCACCAGGAGCCCGATGTGGGATTCGATCCCGGGTCTCCAGGATCGCGCCCTGGGCCAAAGGCAGGCGCTAAACCGCTGCGCCACCCAGGGATCCCTAGAGAGAGAAACTTACAAAAAAATGTGGAATCTGTCTTCTATCCCACAAAGGCACAGAGAGACTCTACGCTTGGGCTGAGTAGCAAGGGGCAGAAATCAGGCAATGTATTTTAAGAACCCTACTAGAACAGTTGTTTAAGTATTACCCTCCCACACCCTTCTTTATCCCCACAATTTTATCTCTAAGTGAAAATAGAGAAACCACTCTCTGAAGATCCAGAACTAGATGCCTGTCCTAGCCTCAGTGGTGATGCCCCCAGAACAAAACCCCATTATTTCAGTCTTGAGTGAAGGACTAAGGCTGCTGGCCTTCTGATACCCCCAGAGGTACCCCAAAGTGGTCTACCAGGTATGCTCCACCCTGCATCTCCCTGCCCACAACATTCAGAAGACAACAGGTGGGAAACAGGACTACATATATGGAGAGAAAATAAACATCAACTACCTATATAAAGCAACTTCATACTAAATTCTGACCCAGTAACAATCAAGGACCACCAGACATTGGAGGAAAGCTACACATACAAGGAAAACAGCAAAGGAACAAACAGAACAGATCCAAGGATAATGAGATCATCTAAGGGACAGATAAAGTAAGTTAAAAGAAGATTCCAATTAACATCTTTTTAGTATCTTCCAAATTCTCATTGTTAATAAAAGAAGAGATTGCTAATGAAAAAAAAGAGTTGAGAACACAAAGGAATTATTAGGAATTTAAAATATGACTAACAAAAAACTAAAAGAAGCAAGCATGGGTCAAAAAAAAAAAAATCCCAACTATAGGAGTGCTGACAATACGGACTCCATCTTTGGTCCTCCATCTCCTTCATGTAATGAACTCTCTCAGGACTATGTGTTCCAGGCCCCTTGGGGGCTAATGCATGCTCTGACCACGTGAAAAGGCTTGTTCTGATCTTCCCTAAAGTTGTTTAAGTAACTAGTGGAGATAGCTTAGTTTCTTTCCCTTTCTCCTCTCTAACAAACAGATGGCTCCAACCAGGTGTGTTAAATCCTTTGACCTCACTACAATGACCTATGCCCATCCCCTCGCTGTATAAAATCTGTGGATTAAGGTCTGAATTTTGTGGAGAATAGCTGCACAGTGCTGGACTGTCATGCACCTGAAGCACCATCAGTAAATTACTCTGAATAAAACTCTGTGTAGAAGGTATGTAATGGCCTGCTTCTTTTTTCCATCCTCAAGTGCCTTCTCAGTTTGGAGGATACTTTACTGTCTCCCCTCCACCTTCTAATACCCAAAACATAGAGCAGTAAAGGTAGCCTGGAAAGGCATTCACTAAAATGTTAACTATGATTATGTAGGGATCCCTGGGTGGCTCAGTGGTTTAGCGCCTGCCTTTGGCCCAGGGCGCAATCCTGGAGTCCCGGGATCGAGTCCCACGTCGGGCTCCCGGCATGGAGCCTGCTTCTCCCTCCTCCTGTGTCTCTGCCTCTCTCTCTCTCTGTGTCTATCATGAATAAATAAATCTTAAAAAAAAAAAAACAACTATGATTATGTACGCACAGAAAGTACAAGTAGACACTAGGGAAGAACAGCATGTTCTCAACATCCTACTCTGTAATGCTCCATCTACCTGTCTACTTAGAATACGCATATGTTCCTTTAATAAAGGAAAAATCATTTCCTAATAAAACTAGAAAATACTTATATTTCATAAACACAATGTAAGGATTAAGAAAAAATATCCATTTTAAAAATACTAAGCTATTTAAATATTACCTCATTTTTTGCTTAGCTTTTTCAAAACTTTCCAAATTTTGAAGAACATGCCTTTCTGGCCATTCCAGAGCATCGGTTTCCATTAGATTTGAAGAAGTAGATTCCACTGAACTGGCATCTAAAGTGAAAGAAACCTACATAAGTACTAAAAATTATTAACATTGAATTTTCTACATGAAAACATATATCTATATATAGATACAGATATAGATATAGATATAGATATAAAGCCGTGTTGGATTAACTACACAGTACTTACCTCAGGCACTTATTAAGGATATATCTGATGGCCCAAACAATGCAAAATGCCATTAAAAAGGTTTTTGGAGATGAAAAAAAAAAAAAGTCAAACGTTATTTTACTGTTTCTTCATAAGCTATGAGCTAGAATTCAGAAAATGAATTAGCTCTATGAGGACTCCTGTAGAATAAAAGCATAATTTGCCTGTTTTTTTGTGAATTAGTTCTAAATGAAAAGGAGGCAACTCTATGGAAAATATATTAGATATACTATGTGATTTTCATACCAGAAACAGGAATTAGCAGCATTATCCAGAAAAGTTCTTATTTTTAAAAGAGATTACTTCATTCTCAAAAGTACAATAATGCAAAAAATAACACAGGATATTTTGAGATAAAGGTTTTCACTTTAGAAAGAATTTTCACTTATCCATTAATGTAAGATGCCTTAACATACACATCTTCATTAAATGTTATTTCACTACTAGTAAAATATTTTATATCACAGTGTGCTTATCCTTCTAGCAATGAACTGAGATTGCTAATAACACTTTAATCTTTATCAAAAACATAAAGGGACAGCTTCCATTTGCATTATAAATTATTAGTACATCCAAACTAATTTTAACACTGTTAAAATTATTGTCCTACTTCTTGAATTCCAAACCTATCTGGTTTACTATCACTGTGAACTCTTACACACTATTCTAATAGAGTAACTGAAAATTACTGGACATTAGTTGTTTGACTAACCATCAATTCTGAGAAAAATACCCATTTTATTCTTTGGATTCTTACAAAATGATGATTTGATAAGGGAATTTTTATACCAAAAAGAAACAACTGAAACATAAATGAAAACTGAAGCCAACTGCATGTTATTTTCCCTTTATTCATTAAACTATTTAACTTTGAATATTAAAATATCTTTAATGACAATATTGGATTGCCCCCACCAAACACCATCCAAATAGACCACACTTCCTATTTCTTAAATAAGGATAGTGAAATACTATTTTATACAGCAACAGCTTTATAATGATCTACTGTTTAATGTTGACATGGCTTTCTACTAAATGTATAAAGCAAGTATCATTAGCAGATCTGAGCAGTTACTTGCTGAGAACTCACCACAAGTCATGTTAAATAAAAATAAATATTAATTGTTCCTAAATATTACAATATAATTATTAATGTTGACTATACAATTTATGTAAGTATAAATGACATAGGCTAAATATTAAGGAATGGATGGAGACATGCACATGTACTTTTGGGGAATAATTTAATACAATTCTTACAATAAAGTAAGACAATATTTTATTTATGTGGCAATCAGGACACCATGTTTACGATGAAAAAGCACAAAAAGGGCCTCTTTTTGTGGCCCTTTTTTGTTCTTGGAGAAACCAAGAACACTGCTTTAAAAAAAAAGTGTTTTACTTTATAGGAGAAACAAAGAAATGAAAATGATACAATAAGGAAATAGGGACTCAAAACCTGCCCTACACAAATCACAGTAAACAAAAAGGAAGTAATATTGCAAATGATAATATGTAGATAGTAATATAGGCCATCATAACCTTATGTACATAAATATGAATAAATCACAAAGAAAACTTATATTGTAATTGGCATATTCTGTTTAATAAAGTAAGAATTATAAGTACATACCAGAAGATTCTTATTAAAATACTTAAAATAATAAAACTGCAATCTTATAAAATTACCTAGAAAACTCATTTGTGCAGTGTGCTTATGTACCCCAATGGTCTGAGGTAAAAGGAGACAGTTACTATATTTTGAGTCCAGATATCTCATTTGACACTGTGAAAGTTTTTAGCAACTATGTGGCAATGGATATATAAAATGGTTAGATCAAGACATTTTTTTCATGCTGATTTTCATGTTACCCATGCTAGAGTTTCTACAAAAAAAAAAAAAAAAAAGCAGATCAATAATCCTGATGGTTAGCAATAATTCCTGATGAGTGTGGTTGTTAAATAATGGGACTGACATTGTTGCTTCTTTTGCTGTGTGTTTTGCATTTACTTACTTACTTACTTACTTATTTATTTTTTAAGATTTTTATTTATTTATTCATAGAGAAACACACAGAGAGAGAGGCAGAGACACAGGCAGAGGGAGAAGCAGGCTCTATGCAGGGAGCCCGACGTGGGACTCAATCCTGGGCCCCCAGGATCACACCCCAGGCTGCAGGTGGCGCTAAACCGCTGCGCCACAGGGCCTGCCCTGTATTTTGCATTTAGATGTATTTATTCAAACAAAAGCTACAAAGGATGTTAAAGATCACAACTTCATTCCTGGAAGTCATCTCAAATTTCACTTCAGGCTCTAAAAAATCTTCAAGGTTTCTTTCATTTGTTCAACATGACTTTTGGGAGGAATGAACTCCTACGTGCCAGGTACAGTACTCTAGGGCAATGGAGAAACCAAGTAGGCATCTTTACTCTCAGAGAACATATGGTTCAGAGTGAAGACAAATAGTTAACAAATAATTACATCTATAGTATATAACTTAAAATATGAAAAATAATTTAAAGAAAGATACAGAAAATGAGTACAACAGGAAACAATTTAAATTGAGGAAGGTCTGGGAAAAAAAGCCTCTTTGAGGAAGTAGCATTTAAGTCAAGATATGAAGAATGCCTGTTAATCAGGTAATGATTGGGAGAAAAGTATTCCAGAAAGAGGATCCTCTATGTATAAAGTTCCTGAGGTAAAAAGGGATGTGACGTGCTCAAGGAACGGAAAGACTTTCTGTGCCACCAAGGAAACAGAAATGTGGCACTAGAGAAGGTTAGACATCAGTTAGGGTTTTTGTAAGCCATATTAAGGATGACATATTCTATGTACAATGGAAAGCAATGACAAAGGTTTGAGGAAAGGAGTGATATAATCTGATTTACATTTTAAAATGAACACCCCTGTAAACGGAGTGTGTTAACAGTGTCCTACGACTTGACTTCATATGGGTAACTGTGAGATAAATTTCCATACTTACAGAAAAACTCGTGTAATGACTTCAACCCTTCCTATCTTCCAACTATTATCTCCTCCACAAGTCCTCTGAGCAAGCCAACTTCTCTCTGGATCTCAGTTTGCCCTTTCTTGCCTTCATGACTCTGGGTATGGGTATGCAACTTCTCCCTGGAAAATGTGTTCTCCACTCAACCTAGATCTTATGTATCACTCAAGACCTACAACAGAGTCCCTTCACTCCTAACAACGTGTTCTGTGACTATCCTACCCTACTTATATTCCTCTCCTTTAAATTCACATTCATTTATTTAAAAACAAACATATAGGGCAGCCCAGGTGGCTCAGTGGTTTAGTGGCTCAGCCTGGGGCGTGATCCTGGAGACCTGGGATTGAGTCCCATGTCGGGCTCCCTGCATGGAGCCTGCTTCTTCCTCTACCTGTGCCTCTGCTTCTCTCTCTTTCTCTCTCTCGTGAATAAATAAATAAAGTATTTTAAAAATAAATAAAAATAAAAACAAACATATAGCACTTCATACCAAGTGACTTTCTAAGCAATTTATAAATAATCCCTTTAATCCTCATAACAACCTATGCCATCTCTAATTTAAAGATTAAAAAAAGCTTGAGGCTCAGAGGTTAGAAAACTTGCCCAAGGTCACACAGCAGGTAAGCTGCAGGGCCACATTAAGCCTTGTTAGTCTGGATCCAGAGTCCATGCTGCAAACAAGAAACTGTGCCTCTCATTTATTGAATCCATTTCCCATTTACAAGAAACTTTACACTGTCTCTAACACCTGTCAGATTACTCTGTACTGTTAACTGAACTTTCTTACTGATATGTCATGATGATGATAATGATAATACAAATAACAGCTAACAGCTCTTCGGCATTTATTATGTTCTCACATACGTCAGCTCGTCTAATCTTCACAATAACCCTAGTGAGTGGGTAATAGCATTAAGGCCATTTTAAACACAAGGAGGTGAAAGCATAGAGAGGTAGAATAACTGCCCAAAGACATTAGGCTAACAAGTGACAAAACTCAGATTAGAGCCCTGGCACTTGAGCTCCAGAGCCTGGGCTCTTGAAATGGCTCTGTGTTCTATTTTATTTTGCTTCTGAAATCGATCATAAGCCTGTTGAAAGTCAGGGATCCAAATTTTTACTTCTTTGTCTATCTTTATGGTGTCAAACAGAGAAAGGCTTTCAACAGACATTACTGTTTACTTGATTCTTTGGTCATTTTCTTATCAACTTATAGAATAAAAATGATTCTCCTGGAATAAAAACAAAAAATTATCCTGTACTTTTAAAATGCCAGGCAATAATCAAATGCTTTCTTGTTAGATTCTGTAAAGCTTCATTGTATTCAAATATATCACAAGAATAGGAACCGAGAAAATAGAAATGCAAGTTAATATAGAAATGATTTCCTGCTCCTTCAGTGGAGTTTGCTGACTGTTCCTGCTATAATGTATGGCAAATGTGGAGCATCTTATTGTAGGTAATTTTAATAATCATAAACTTATGTGTAGGTTCTACTGTTCTCATCTTATGAAAACATAGCTTTATAAAAATCCACCTATCTAGCAGCTTAGTAAAAGTAGTAAGAGGAATCACCTTAAAATGATTCTCCCTCTGTTCAAAAAACAATAATATTAAACATGCTTAATGAAAGAAGTGACAGAAAGTTTTTAGTTTAAATGGTGAGAAATAGTTCATCAAATACATACACATACTTGTATAAACAAATATATATATCACTGTTTAAATGTATAAAATATTTTTGATCACCATTTTATTGGTTTTAATAAGAAATGTCATAAATGCCATACATACAAAAAGAATCCATATTTAAACTATCAAAAAACTTACCATTTAACATATTGGAGGTTTTAATTTTGTCTGTCTTTATTGGAATTGTTTTAGGAATAACAGCATCAAAATGCTCTAAAAAGGATTCCCTTGTGAGTATCAATAGACTTTTGAATTCATCAACAGAAACTGCTTCAGGCTGCTTTGCCAACTTTCTCCTTTCTGTAAGACAACAAAAACGATTAGCCATATGACTATTATTCTAAAGACTCTCACAAAATGCCTCTACTACCCTTTTAGGAGAAATATTTTCAAAAGTAAAATAGGTGAATTTCTCCAGGACATCAGCATTCCTATTGCTACAGGCCTGTTTTCATTTTAACCCCATTTGTAGGTAATGATAGAATTTCCAGTTATGTGAGATAAACAAAAATAGAGTAATCTGTTAACACCGGAGGTGATAAATGGTAAAGGGGAGTTTGCAAGTTTTTAGGATATACTGCAGAGCACTAAGAATGTTGGTGTTTATGTGAAAATAACACCTGTAAGACTTTCAGTTAAACGTGGTAGTTGGGACACTTCCACCTATTTCTTCTCCTTCCCCAAACCTACACTCACAGCAAGGAATTAAGAAAAGGAAAAGAAAAGCAGAAACAATAAATAATGACAGTTTGAGACATTTTGGAAGATAAGATGAAGGCAGAGTGGTAACTGAGCTGCTACAGCAGAGGAAGGGTCATCTGGGAGCCTGCAGAGGTGCTACTGTGAGGCATGAGGAAGATGATAGTGAGGTCCAGGCTAACGCAGGACTGGAGGCATAGGGAAGAAGCAGTCAGAAGTAAAGGTCTTCACTGCACCCTCAAATCCTCACAGCCAGGAGACTCTGTTCTCATTTTTTTTTTTTTTTTTTTTGGGTAGAAGAAAGAAAGAAGTCCTAGCCCATTGAGCATCAGGCACACTGAAAGGTAACACTGAGGCTTGGGTTAAAACTGAGGGACTAACAAGAAGTGTTCATATTGAAAGGTCTGACTCCAAGCCCCGTAGCCAGAAAGCTAGCAGCTACAAAAGCTCCACTAGAACGATTAAAGGATTCCCCTTCTGAAACACTGAATGCCCCTGGAAAAAAGAGCTTGATCCTGATATTGAAGTGGAGGTGTAGGGATAGGAGCTCTCAACCAAAATGATGACCTGTCACTCGACATCTTTACGGTGCAGATTACCAGACAGTATATTAGAGAAGAGTATGTAAAGCTTCTGTCTAAAGTGTATAGACAGAAACATAGTAATTCGAAGGGCACCTGCACCTCAATGTTTATAGCAGCAATGTCCACAATAGCCAAAATATGGGAAGAGCCTAGATGTCTATTGACAGATGAATGGACAGATAAAGAAGATGTGGTCTGTATAGACAATGGAATATTACTCACTCATCAGAAAGAATGAAATCCTGCCATTTGCAATGACATTTATGGAACTAGAGGGTATTATACTAAGTGAAATAAGTTAATCAGAGAACGACAAATACCATATGACTTCCCTCACATGTGGAATTTAAGAAACAAAACAGATGAACATAGGGGAAGGGAAGGAAAAATAAAATAAGATAAAAACAGTGAGGGAGGCAAACCATAAAAGACTTTAACTCTAGGGAACAAATTGAGGGTTGCTGGAGGGGAGGTGGGGGGGATGGGGTAACTGGGTGATGGACATTAAGGGGGGGCACTTGACATAATGAGCACTGGGTGTTAAATGCAACTGACGAATCATGAAATCCTACCCCGAAACTATAATACAGTATATGTTAACTACATGGAGTTTAAATAAAGAATAAAAAAAAAAGGTATTGGGGAAAGAGGGACTCTGCATTTCCATGGTCTTATGCTTACACATGTAAAGAAGGACTCTGATCCAGCAACAGTTCTAGATCCTGTCTCCCTTGCATCACTCACGGAGCTAGTCTGGAATAGAAACAAGGCATGCTCTGATCAGATCCTTCTCTCCAACTATCCTCCGAGCTGGCAAGTCCTCAGGATGCACGCTTCCTACCATATGGTAAAGGCCCTGCCCCCACTGGGTTGATATGTATTTGTCTAGTTCTTCACTCAAGGAGGTTAGCTCAACTGGCCACAGATCTAAAAAGTCATATCCTTCAATACAGCTTTTATTTTTTATTCATCTCCATCAGTGTTTCTTAGGTTTATTTCTCAATTGGTTCCAACTTTAGGAGCGTCAAGAGGGGTTTATTTGTTGAGACTCTCAAATCAGAAAAGTCCAAAGTGAAAAAGAGAAATAAAGCAAGCGAAAGGAAAAAGAAGCCCAGCAGAAACAAACAAAAAACCTGCAGGGAACAAAAGCAAGTTTGCTATAATTAATATTCTCAGAGAACTAAGAGAAGATAATACACCCCATGAAACAAGTACAGGATCCTTATATAAAAGAAAGTACAGGATCCTTAAATAAAAGAACAGTTGATGGACAAGAAGAGACTTTTAAAAATTAAGCCCAGGAGAGCTCAAATTTTAAACATTCCATAAAAGGGCTTAAAACAAAAAATGCAGGCAGCCCCAGTGGCTCAGCAGTTTAGCGCCGCCTTCAGTCCAGGGCCTGATCCTGGACACCTGGGATCCTGAGTGCCACATCGGCCTCCCTGCATGGAACCTGCTTCTCCATCTGCCTGTGTCTCTGCCTCTCTCTCCCTCTCTCTCTCTCTGTCTCTGTCTCTCATGAATAAATAAATAAAATCTATTAAAAAAATGCAAGATATTGCCCAGAAACTAGAACAAAAAGAAAAAAATATGGAAATAGGAAAGAAAACTAGGTATTCTGCTCAGGTATTTTTATATGCTTAATAGAAGTTCTAAAAAGGAAAAGAAAAACAGGAAAGAAACAAAATTATTAAAGATAAAAGTTTTCAGATTTAAGAATGTGAATCTTCTATTGAAATGGCTCATCAAATACATAGTTTAATAAATAGAGGGCAGAGAAAGAGAATGGAAAATACATACACAGTACAATTCAGAGTAAAGCTTCTGGAGATAGAACATCCCAGAAAGGGCTAAAAACAAGCCAAATATAAAACACTACAAAGGATAAGAATAGTATTACATTTCTCAATAGGAACACAGTCACACAGAAGATAATAAAGCAATGTCTTCAAAATTCTGAAGGTAGATGATTTTCAACCTAGGATTCTTCACAATCTATCAATCAAGTAAAAATATTTTCAGATATGCAAGAGCTTAAAAAAATTATGCTCCACAAAGTTTTACTCAAGTAGTTACTGAAATATATGCTCCAACCAAGTTAGAGAGAAATCCAAGGAGGAGAACAGGGGTCTAGAAAAAAGGAGACTCCAAAAGAAGAGAAGAAAGAGAAGTCTCAAATGATCTGCTATCAGAACAAAATATTGAACACTCTGAAAAAAAAATAAAGAGAAATAAAAAGAACTGCTGTCTTTGAACATACAATGAATTTAATGGGAAGTATGTAGAAAAATGTTGGGGCCCCTGGAAAAACATAATAATATTTTGCCTGAATGGAAGAATGGGCAAATTAAAAATGATTATCAACCATAAGAAAAACAAAGATTATACAAGAGAGGTGATATATATATTATATATATATATATATATATATATATATATATATATAGAGAGAGAGAGAGAGAGAGAGAGAGAGAGAGAGAGAGAGATAATAATGTTAAAACTAACCACTGATTTTGCCAAAATTCAAGACTTCACTGTAAAGGGTGGAAAGGGAGAGTGAAGATGATATGAGAAAACTGAGTCTTATCTTCCATAGATAGATGCTAAGATAATGTCTTCAATTGGCAAATTAAGAAACAGCAGCATTCACATACTATTAATAGAACTGGAGGAAATGTTAAGAAAACCAGCCAAACAGCTGCAGGTAGCTGCTGTAGACAGAGGCTGAAAGATGGAGAGGAGACTGTAGGGTACTGCTAGTGTCCACATCAAGTTTTTCAATACCATTTGCATCTTAAAGTAGACCCATGTATTATTTTAATAAAAATATGACATTTTTAAAACACTTCTGGACTAATAACATGAGTAAATAAAATAGTAAATTATAAATGCATAGAGAATTCAATTCGACATTTATTATGTACTGTATACAAAGCACTGTGTTGTGCCCTTAGGCACTGAGAATTAGAGCCCATTACTACATGAAGGCAATACATAAATACTGCAAGAGAGTACACTCAGAAGAAAGCAGCCAGCCTAGAGGTCCTACTTTAGAACATCAGTTTTACAACAATGCCTTGCAAAATCCCACCTTCCCAGTGTGGATATTGGTAGGGTCATTCCAGTTGTGATCCAAGATAAGTAACACATGGTTCCTGCACTCAAGAACATTAGTAATGGTAAAGCAAGATTGTAAAATACACTGTTGTTATTACAAGTGAGAAAATAAAAAGCAGTGAAGCTTTTTATGTGAAGCACAATCTGCTGGGTGCCATTCTAAAACAAAAAGTTATCAATGATTTGTTTTTATCTGAAAGACGCACAATAGGTAATGTGCTTTAGAACTTAGCTCTACACTTTTATTAATGTTAAAAATAAACAAATCATGAACCTAACTCATGCTTATTAAAACAGCCAACTATATTACAACATTGGGCTATCTGGAGAGTGGAGTAAGACTTCCTCCTGGCCCTGATATCAGAAAAAGAAATAGGAATAGATGAAGTTTAACAGGGTTATGATCAGAATAATTCACTGAGGCAAAAAATAATCTATAAATAAATGAGTTTGCACATGGTGGCAAAATTCTGGGAGACAAATATTGGACTAAAGTCTAAAAATGAATCAGCAAAAGAATGCTATTCCTGAGAAAGCTAGCAAGAACTCAGGACTTATTAAAGAAAAATATAGAGGAGAATATCTAAAAGTACCACAGACTGAGTGTCAATCAGGTTTGTATTAGGTTCTATAAATTTAAAAAAGATGTGGGATGGGCAGCTCTTGTGGTCTAGCGGTTTAGTGCCACCTTCAGCCCAGAGTGTGATTCTGGAGTCCCAGGATCGAGTCCCACGTCGGGCTCCCTGCATGGAGCCTGTTCCTCCCTCTGCCTGTGTCTCTGCCTCTCTCTCTGTGTGTCTCTCATGAATAAATAAATAAAATCTTAAAAAAAAAAAAAAGATGTGGGAAACTCAGAGTAGTGACTGCAATACTGGAGTGAAATGACAACACTGTTGTTTTGGATTTATCTTGCATCATAATGAATAGTCTTTATTTAAAACTTATCTAGCATTCTTAAACCTTTTCTTTAAAATAATCAGTGAACAAGATATTTAACATTTTCGAATATAAGAAGTTATGAACTACCAAAAAATCAAGTAAAAAAAACTATAAAATTAAAATAATTCTAATATAATAGTATTAAATATAATTTTTTAAAATAAATAAAACTACTGGAAGTAATTATTCTATTTGTTTTAAAGATTTTTTATTTATTGATTCGAGAGGGGGAGAGAGAGCATAAGCAGGTGGAGCAAGAGGGAGAGGGAGAAGCAGGCTCCCCATCGAGCAGGGAGCCCTATGTGGGGCTTGATCCCAGGACCCCGGGATTATGACCTGAGCTGCAGGCAGATGCTGAACCAACTGAGCCACCCAGGTCCCCTTGGAAGTAATTATTCTAAAAATTAAACCATACCAGAAATTTTATTTGAATTTTGTGTATTTTAAAAAACAAAGTGTCTCAATAATGTATGTACATTTTCATACAAACTTTTCCAGTTGCTCTTTCTGATTCAGTACTGGTCAGAGAAACAGTGGAGAGATAGTAAGTCTACTCCATGTCTTGTTGATAATTTTGAAAAAATCGTCTTGAACAACTTTTTGTTTCATAGCAAAGACTATAAACTTTGTATTGATTCTGAATTGTCGGTTTTTTTCCAAAGAAAGCTGTTCTTAGTATATTAGTTTTCACCATGTGTAAATTAATTATACATTCAGAAATTCTTACATAAGAAACTTTGTTTTGCTGTTACTTTGTCTTCTGAGATACAGGAACTTAACTGATACAACTTTACCCCAAATTTTAAATCCAGTATTGACTCTCTGGGTAAAGAAGAGATTGGTTCAGGAAATATTTCCATCACAAATTGATTAATTGGATCACTAATTTTCATCAAGATTTAATGCTTTGGATTACAAACTGGTCATTTCATGGATATGCCCAGAGCTGGTATTTCTAGCAGCTACTAGCTGTAAGCTTTCCCTCAACTTTTGGCCCCCTACTTGTCCTTGCACCTTGCCCAGAGCTGTGGCATCCTTACAACTGTGGTACAGCTCAGCTACTGGTGCTTCTACATTTATCTACCACTCCTGTTTCCCTTTTTCCCCAGTAGAGTTTCCAATCACACCTGCAGGCAGCAGTCTGGTTATAGCTGTTAGTATTTCCCTTCCCACCTATCTAGGAGGGTTAACTCTTCATACTCAAAGGAGAAATGTGTCAGCTTCAGAGAGCAGCCTATTTTTCTACTCTGGCAGTTTTTCTGGTGGGAAGGGTTAGGAAGAGAGGTGAAATGAAGGAAAGGGGAGATATTGAGGGAATTTTGTTACAAGGAGCTGCAAAAGGCTTAAGGCAAGGAAGCAGGGCCTGAAGACGAGTGTAGCAGGGACGGAACAAAGTCAAGAGGTGAAGAATACTGCAGGTTGATATTTGAAGTAAGAGTTTTCTAGCCAATAAAATATTATTTCAGTATTTATTCTTTTTTTTGGTTTTAATATGTACTATTTTTTATTGAAACCGATTTGCCTTTCTAACTATTTTCCTTGCACTAATATCGATACAATTAAAAAAAAATCAATGGTTGGAGAAGCTCAAGACTATGCAATTACCCTGATTTGCACAATTGAAAAAGTAGGTAATTCATGAATAATTGAGACCAAGTATTCTAAAATTATTTTCCATTGAATAAAATAGGCTACTGAACTCAAGATAGTTTTAAAATGCTTTTAAAGAAAAAATAGGGATCCCTGGGTGGCGCAGCGGTTTGGCGCCTGCCTTTGACTCAGGGCGCGATCCTGGAGACCCAGGATCGAATCCCATATCGGGCTCCCGGTGCATGGAGCCTGCTTCTCCCTCTGCCTGTGTCTCTGCCTCTCTCGCTCTCTCTGTGACTATCATAAATAAATAAATTTAAAAAAAATAAAAAATAAATAAAGAAAAAATAGATGGTTATTTTATAATGTAACTACCCAATTTAATTATCATCTTTTTTTATACGTAACTAAAAAGGCTTCACAATTTGAATCAATTAAAAATTCTCTATCAATTCCCTTAAAATAAGTTCATAGTAGGTAGTAATTAACGATTATTTGTTTAAAAAAGTTAAGACTGATACCAAGTTAAGATTTATTTTTGTTTTTGAGAAGCAGGCTCCATGCAGGGAGCCTGATGTGGGACTTGATCCCGGAACTCTGGAATCACACCCTGAGCCAAAAGCAGACGCTCAACCGCTGAGCCACCCAGGGATCCCCCAAGTTAAGATTTAGTAATAGAGGTAAGACCTTAAACTATGACTCTTGGAAAAAGTGTTAGCTTCCTGAATAAGGAAAAATCCATAATGCTAACTTCATTCTGCCATATATATGAAATGCGTTGTTACTAATAGTTAAAGTCTAAGAATCAATAGTCAAGTTAGCACATTAATTTATCTGTAGTTGTATTTTCTTCTATCTGCAGTCTCTATCCTACTGTTACAACCAAAAATATATGAGAAATTTTATAAAAAGATCTATATTAATCAGAATTTTTTAAAAAATGGAAGAATGGAATACAAAATTTTCCTAAAGAAATATTTTTATGGGGCACCTGGATAGCACAGTTTCTTGGTTTCGGCTCAGGTAATGATCTCAGGGTCGTGAGATTGAGCCTTCCATCAGGTCCCGGCTTCGTATTCAGTGTAGAATCTGCTTAAGACTTTCTCTCCCTCTCCCTCAGTCCCTCTCCCCCTCTTCTCTCTCTCAAAAAAATAACTCAATCTTTAAAATAAATATATATATATATTTTATAAATGTTAACGGCAATGTACGAATAGATAGGAAGATTCTGAAACCGATGGAAAAAGGTTGCAGACCTTTCCTACTCTGCATCACCTCTATCAAGGATAGTTCTACAAATAAGCATTTTACCTAAAAGACAAAATGTGTAAGAAAAAGTATGACAGTAACAAAGCATTGTGTCTGAATGAGTTAACATTCTTAACATAGAATGAAATGTACAAATCATTACTTACTCAGACATTCTTTCAAAGCCAAAGCTTGAACATTAGCTAACTGTTTCTCTCTCTGTATAAGCTGCTCACCCGAAAAATGTGGAAGTGACAAGAAGTCAAAAGGAAAGTCTGAGAAATAGAAAAAGTCAGTATTAAGGATGTTCTATGACAATAATACTCAGTTCACAGAAAATGTTATTAAATACTTTTAAAAAATAAAAGTCAGTTATCCATCTCTCTTGCTCTTGCTTATTTCAAAATAATAATTAAGATGTAGAAATCAAGTATACTAAATTATTTTGCATTTTAAGCTCTGACCTCCCTTTGAAATTGAGGGAATTCAAGTAACAGAGTAGAAATCCCTCCATAACATTTTCTTTTACGGGCTCAGCTACTCAAACTCCTAAACAAAGCAGAGACGGAGTATGAAAGCTAGTCTCTAAAGATGCCCCAATCAACCACACCTACCATTCACCCATTGTGTAGTCCTTCCACAATCAATCTAGGCTAACTCTCTGAAACTGATAGGGTACTGCTATGGTAAAAATGACAGTAAATGACTTCAGGCTGGGTCAAAAAACCTGGTGGCTTCTTAGAACAATGCTCTAAGAGAAGTTAACTTCAAGATGGGCAATAAAATGGAACAAGATGATGCTTGAGAGGAAGTAACTAAAAATGAGGGATAAATTATAGAAAAATATGTTTAATGTGGAAAATAATAAAAATTTCCTATTTGGAATCGAAAGATAACCCTCTAAATTTTACCAAGTATAATGAAAAAGGGATTAATTATCTGGACTCTAAACTGTCCAAACATGCTATAATATGTTTGAAATAAAAGGCAAATTGAAAGGGAAATGGAGTTTGGGGAAAATCAATTCATTAAAAACCACCTAAGTTAACTGCATATACAAACAAGTATAAAAACATTTTCTGGGTAGCCCGGGTGGCTCAGCAGTTTAGCACCACCTTCAGCCCAGGGCCTGATCCTGGAGTCCCGGGAACGAGTCCCACATCAGGCTCCCTGCATGGAGCCTGCTTTTTCCTTGTCTGTGTCTCTGCCTCTCTCTCCTCTGTGTCTCTCATGAATAAATAAATAAAATTAAAAAAATAAAAAAAAAATAAATAAAACATTTTCCACTTAAAATGAACACTTACTCAGTTTGGCTTCTTCTGTCCTTGCTTTCATCTTTCCATGAATTAAAGTGAGTGCAAATGAGCCATTGATCTGGTTGGCTGAATGAATCAATGTGGCTTTACATTTTCTGTCACCATTACCTTGTAAGAGGAGATAATAGCTAGAACACTCTCCTTTCACTTCAACATCTGGAACTAAACAAAAACAATTATCTTGTTAAGTATGTGAAAATTCAACATGCAACATGGCAAAATCATATATTTGGCCTACAGGCTATAATGACTTTCTATGTTTTTTGAAAACAAGTTATTATACAATACACTTTGGGTAGCACTTATTCATTTAACTCAGAAAACTGAAAGCTGAAATTCATAACAAAAATGATTGTTTTTTACTTTAAAACATTTTACTTTAAAATTATGTGTACTTTTCATTAGCTTTTGAAATGGCTCACTAGAGTTCCATGGTATCTTTCTTGTATGACCACATCCATAATATATCAACTACTACTTCCAGCTTCTATTTCTTTAAAATGGAAGAAACTGACCCCTGCAAGCACATACAATTCAACTAGTGGAGCAGAAGTGTGCAGATACACTTTAAGGTAGCTATTCGGATCTGCAGTGGGCATCCATAATGTATTTTACAGGGAATGGAGAGTACTCATTAATCTGGCATGCCAGTTACATGAAGGTCAGTTAAGACAGCTTCTTGTATATTTTAAAAACAAATCAAGTGAGGGTTATAGTGAAGGTCAAAGAAAAACTGTGAAGCCTTTGAGATTAAAAATAGAAGTAGAGTCCCTTTTTTTTGAAGATGGTAAATTGGACATAGGCATTCATTTTCACTATCTGCTGAAATTCCACAAAATGAGAATAAAGAGATTTTTAAAATAGCACAAATCTACAAGGACTAATATCTGACAGAAGAGACAATAGCAACTAATTTTGAAAGCAGGAAAGCAGATGAATAATTGGTAACAGACTGCTAAGGAAGCTGAGAAAAACAGTAGAGAAAGCTTAGAAGCAACATAATTTATACTACAATCCCTGACAAGACTCTGGGATGATGGTCCCAGGTGGCACTGGAAGCAATGTGAAGGTGAAATAAGAAAATAGGTTGAAGTCTGCGAGAAGCAGTTTGGCATCCTGACCACTCCTTATTCTATTGAGACACATGATTGTCCTTTCCCCAGCCCGAAGACTAGTGTTTATTCTTTGCAGAAAGTAAAACAAGGTGTCTCCTTCCTGAGAGATACTGGACAGAGAGGAGGGTTAAAGTTAATTATCAGTGGTTAAAATGTGTATTTGTATACTGATATACTGAATATTGAGGCCCTTTACTCTTCTTTACCTACATAACTTCTAGAATTTTAGAAGCTAGATAACAGAATTGAAATTTCTTTTGGAAATGTGATCAGTCCTAGAAGAAAGACTGAAGGACCCAACATTGGAGTCAGCTAAGATCCCAATGAGATCACCCTAAAATGAAGATCACAGTCAACAAGCTATAATCCTGCACTCAAATTTTCCCATTAGCTTACTGATACCATCTCTTAAATATGACAGGCAGGCAAAAGTTATGGGCTCTTAAGGAGAGTTGCTAGTATGAAAACTAGATGCCAAAATAAACAGAAAAAAGTGACTTGCAAGAAAACAAAGAATATGCAGTAAAAAGAAATAACACACACAACAAACCAATCAGACCATTAAAATCCTCAGAGAAGATATTGCATCTATTCAATAAAAACAGATTATAAGAACATTAAGAAAAAAGCTCATGAAAATTAAAATTAAAAAGCATAAACATGTATTTCCTCTAAAAGATTAGAAGAAAAAAGTTCAGTGAATCTACAGAATGCATAGTAAAAAGACAAAGAAATGGAAAATAGTGGAGGAAGGGAAAGAGACACAGACACACGATCCAGGAGGAGTAACATCTACACAGGAATGACAGAAGTGAGAACATGCAAAAGCACAGGCAAGTAAATTACCAACAAAATAATTATAAGAACACTTTCCACAATAAAAAGACCAGCTGAGGCTTCTGGGTGAGTCAGTGTTTGAGCGTCTGCCTTTGGCTCAGGTCATGATCCCGGAGTCCTGGGATTGAGTCCTACATCAGGCTCTCTGCAAGGAGCCTGCTTCTCCCTCTGCCTATGTCTCTCTCTGTGTGTCTCTCATGAATAAATTAAAGTCTTAAAAAAGAAAAAAAGACAAGCTTCCAGGAATGCTGAGAGCCCAATATAAGAATATAAACAGAGCTACCAAGGTACATGATCATGAAAATTCAGAAAGATTCAGAAGATTCTACAAAATTCCAGAGAAAATATGGATTTCCTATTTTAAAAAATTAGGAAGAAATAGCACTAGAATTCTAAACAACAGCACTAAAAGCTGAAAGACAGGGTGGCCTGGGTGGCTCAGCTGTTGAGTATCTGCCTTTGGCTCAGGGCATGATCCTGGGCTCTGGGGATGGAGTCCCCCATCGGGCTCCCTATAAAGAGACTGCTTCTCCCACTACCTATGTCTCTGCCTCTCTGTGTCTCTCACGAATATATAAATAAAATCTTTAAAAAATAAAAAATAAAAACAAAAATAAAAGCTGGAAGACAATGGGACAATACCTTCAAAATTTCAGGAAGATTTTAGAGAATGTGCTCCACTAAAACGGGGGACTAAAGGAAGAAAAAGGAAGATTAAAGATACCAACAAAAAAAGGGCAGAAGAAATCTCCATAATGATGAATAAATAGTCTTTTAAACCCAAAGCTATGGAACACATCTAGAAAAAGAAGTCTGGATTAGACAGGTCATAAAGATCTGGAAGAGATTTCTTACACAAACACTGATAGAATACTTAATGTGCCTGAAGGTACTGAAATGAGTTTTACCACTGGGAGAAGGCTCTATGGCTGGATATATAAAAAGATTCACTAGCTCTAGCTAAAACAAAAGACTGTACAGGAAAGGAAAAATAACACTTCAAACGTTGAAGAGCAATTACATACTCATAATAATTAAAACAATGGATATTAATTTAAAATTACTGTATAATCATTCTGAGAGGATAGAGAAATGAGAAGAATTTGAGTGTGTGATGAGAGCAAAGGAGCTTAAAGGATTCATATTTCCCTGATTGAAAACTTACTATGTAGCTACCATAATCAAGACATTGAGGGACTGGTATAAGGACAGACATACAGATGAACAGAAATGAGAGTGCAAAAATACACCCTCACATTTACAGTCAAATGATTTTCAACAAAGGTGCCAAGATGATCTGATGGAGAAGGAACAGTCTTTTCAACAAATGGTCCTGGAACAACTGAACAACCAATATGCAAAGGAATGAAGCTGGACCCCCTACCCATCTACCTCACAATATATATATATATATATATATATATATATATATATATATATATATATATATCATAATTAATTCAAAATGGATCATAGATGTAAATTTACAAACCAAACTTTAAAACTCTTAAAGGCATAAATCTTCATGACCTTGGATTAGGCCATGGTTTGTTAAATAAGAGACCCAAACAAAAGGAAAAACAAAAGGAAACAAAAGAAAAAAAGCGAAAACTAAATTTCACCAAATTCAGAACTTCTGTGCTTCAAAGTATACCATCAAGAGAATGAAAAGTCAACGTACTATGGACTTCGGGTTATAATGGTATGTCAATGCAAGCTTATCAATTTTAACGAATGTACCATTGGGGTGGAACGTTGGTAACGGGAGGTTATATGTGAGGACATGGACTATATGGAAACTTTCTGTACTTTCTGCTCAATTTTGCTGAGTCTCTAAAACTGCTCTAAAAAATAAAAATTATTAATTTTAAAAAGGGCAGCGTGGGTGGCTTAGCGGTTTGGAGCCTGCCTTCGGCCCAGGGTGTGATCCTGGAGACCCAGGATCCAGTCCCACACCAGGCTCCCAGCATGGAGCCTGCTTCTCCCTCTGCCTGTGTCTCTGCCCCTCCCCGCCCCTCTCTGTATCTCTCTCAAATAAATAAATAAAATCTTAAAAAAAAAAAAAAAAAAAGAAGCATCCATATGACCAGGTTGCTATGATGAGGATTAAATGTGAGATGCTGCAGGAAAGTGCTTACTTAGATCATTGCCTGACATATACTAACTATTCAATAAATATTACCAATCAATTCAAGAAAAGTCAACCCACAGAACAAAGTTTTTGTAAATTATATATCTTATAAAGGATTTGTATCTAGAATATATAAATAACTCCACAACTCTAACACTAATAAAAAGACAACTCTATTAAAACTGAGTACAGGATCTGAAAAGACATTCCTCCAAAGATAAATACAAATGGCCAAAAGCACATGTAAAGATGTTCTTCATTAGCCAACAAGGTCGTGCAAACCAAAACCACAAAGATACCACTTCACCTCCCTTAGAAGAATATAACAAAAACTATAGACAATAAACAGGTACTGGTATAGGTATAGAGAAAATGGAACTCTTATAGATTGTTGGTGGGAATATAAAACGATACAGCTACTTAGGAAAGTCTGAAAATTCCTCAAAAAAGTCAAACTTATAAATTAATATATGACTCAGAAATTCCACTTTCAGGTTTATATTCAAGATAATTTTAAACAAATGTTCACACAAAAACATGTACACAAATATTCATGGCAACATTATTTACAATAACCCCAAAGAGCCAACAGCTAAAGTGTCCGTCAACTGATGTGTGAATAAATAATAAGTGATACATCCAAATGACAGAGCTATATTCAGCAATGAAAAGGAAGGAAGTATTGGTATATCATACAACAAAGATAAACCTTAAATACATTATGCTGTATGTGAAAGAAGTCAGTCATTAAAGATGACATATTTATTGTGTGATTACTTTTATATGAAATGTCCAAAATAGGCAAATCTATCCAGAAAGAAACAGATCCGTAGTGGCCCAAAGGCTGGAGGAGGAGCAGGCACTGGGGATGGGGAGGGACTGCTAAAGGCTATGGAGTTGCTTTCTGGAGAGATAAAAATGTCCTAAAATTGACCGTGGTGATGGTTACACAATCCATGCTGTAAATAGACTAAAACCACAGAATTGTATACTCTAAATGAATTGTATGGTGTAGGAATTATAAACTTTTTAATATGTAATTATCTTAGGAATGTAAGATTCTGCTCATAAAAAAGTTC